CTCACATCCTCCTCCTCCTCCTCCTCCTCCTCCTCCTCCTCCTCCTCCTCCTCCTGCACCGCCTATCCTCGAGCAGTGCATACGTTGATGGACATATGAGGTCAAGGAAGGCACCCAGTGAGAGGCTTGCTCGGTTGTTGCTAGACTCGCATTTTTCGCCCAGACTATTGTTGCATCTGATGACGTCCTCAGCAAAATTGACCCAGAGTTTGCCGAATTTTTCAAGGCTGGTGTTTGCTCTTGGCTGGCCAACGCTGGTATTGATGCCACTCTGGAGATTATTTTGAGTAAAGTTCAAGTTGTTCAAGATCAGCATGTCGCTCAACGTAAGGAGGAGTGGCGTCAATGGACGGAGCAGGCTTTCAGACAGGGAGCTGGCCAAGCCCACCGTTTCACAAAGGTTCGAGGGCTCCAGCAGGTTCATGAGTTTCTTTATAATTCTTCTCCACCGAAGCTGGCCGACAACGAGCTGGATAGGTGGAAGGCGATTTGGCAACTCCATAAGGAGGATAAGCTTCCGCTACCGCATGATGCTGTGAAGTGGGAGCACCTACCTCCCATTGATGGAGCTCAGATCCGCAAGGTCATTTTGTCGTTCGCCAAGCGGACGGGTAGAGGCCAGGTGCACATTCTACCTCGACACCTGTGGTTTGTCTGCGATGAGGGCCTCGAGACCTTAGCTCGATTGTTTATGCGCTGTGAAGCTATGTTGCGATGGCCACAAGATCAGCTGTCCACCGAGCTTTGCATGTTGCCTAAGCCCACAGGCGGCACTCGCCTGATATCGTTATTGCACACTTTGCTCCGCGTATGGGGCAGAGTGCACCGACCCCTCAGCGCTGTGTGGGAAAGGTCTCATGCTCATCCCTCTTTCTGGGGTACTGGAGCAGGTCGATCATCGAGCGACTGCGCATACCATCTTAACTAGAATGCAGAAGTGGCGCACGCACGTCGACAGCATGTGATCACAGTATTCCTCGACATGTTCAACTGTTATGAAACTATATTATGGAGCATGCTCATGAACGAGGCACGTGCGTTCAACTTCCCCCTCCGCCTCATGTGGATGATTATCTAAACATATTTACGTCCACGTACGATTCGAGCGTTTAACAACATCAGCAACTTGTTTGTGGCGCACCAAGACATACTTGCAGGATGTACGCATGCGACAACGGTTCTCATGGTGGTGCTGTATCGTGTGGTGGATTCACAGTATAGGCTTTACAGTCCGCTTGTGTCGGTGCGTGTGCTTATCGATGACTTCACAATGCAATGGATAAGCGACGGTCCTCAGGAGGCGCGCATACTGCACACATGTGTACGTAACTTTGCTTCGGACGCCAGTACTCTCGGACTTGTTCTTCAGAAAGGGAAGTCTGGGTATGTAGCTACTACTATCAGGGCTGCTCGTGGATTTGCTTCTGGGGTTCGGTGTATGAAGCTCCGAAGTAAAAAGCACACATCCGAAACCTTGGGCACGACCTCTACGGGGTTCGGGCCTCTCGTGTCATGGAAACGTCTCGCCTTCGGGCTCCCGGGCAACGTCGGAGGCGCATTTGGAAGCTTCGGGGCACGGTCCATGAGGAGGTAGTGCTCCTGTGGAGGACAGGGATTCTCCCATCGGTCGGGCACGGCACAGGAGTGAGCGGCACGTCGGATTCTGCACTCAGGCAACTACGCACAGTTGCAGGCGGCATGATTGGCGCAAGTGGCAACTCCTCGCTCACGCTCTACCTTACTACTCAAAGCGACGGAAAGTTCGATCCAATGTTTTGATTGCACAACGATTCTGGTCAAGAGATATTGTAGTTTCACCTGGGACAATCGTGTATCAATTGCCGACCTGCACCATGCACTTGAAGATTTCCGTGCTCGACTTCAAGCAGCCACGCGTCCGGCATGGAAAATGGCAAGAGGTCCTATGGCAGCGGTCTTTCTCACTCTACAGAGGATCGGATGGTCTATGCGCAGCCCGATATTTCTTCAAGATGATGCTGGCCAGAAGTATAATCTCCTACAGACAGCCCCTCGTGACCTCGAGCGGCGTCTGTGTGACAACATTTGCAGATGGCAGATGCTGAGAATCCGCGAACACCTTCCTGAGCGTATCGGAGACGAGAAAGTATGGCGACGTGCAATGCGAGCTGCGGTCCTTCGGGTTCCTCCTGGACCGCAACGAGGGGCACTTCGCAAGCTCTGGGCTGGAGGATTGCCTTGCCCTGACAGGGCTGTTGATCTTGGGATTTCAGACTCACGTGAATGTCATTACCGTGGGGCGACGCGCGGCTCACTTTCTCATCAATGGAATTGTTGTGAAGTATTAATGCAGAGCAGTGATGTTCTGCCTGAGGCCGTACCTGAGGAGTTCATGGAGGAATGGGAGCGTCGTCGCAAGGTTGCAGAAGGGCTCACGGACATTGACACCTTCGAGATGACCTACGGACTCCCCCTCGAGCCTCTTCAACCAAGGCAGCCTGAAAGTCGGCCCCCAGTCCACGAATGGGGAGATTGTCGACCTGAGGCTTGGGGGCCGATATCTTATGTTGATGCTTCTGGTATGCATGGCAGCCACCCTACACTCGCCAGAGTTGGCTGGTCTGTTGTGCAATTGTGTCCAGCATCAGGCTGGCCGTTAAGGGCTCGATACGGAGGACTCCCTGGTGCTGACCAAACGGTTCCTCGTGGTGAACGTTATGCTGGACTCCAAGCGTTGTCTGTGATGCAGAGACCAGGCGCTGTCGTATCCGATCACCTATCGTTTGTTAAAGAAGCGTTGAGATGGGACGCCAAGCTGGAACATTCTTCAAGCCGTCATGCTGGGCTATGTACTCAAATTTGTTGAAGAAGGAGGTTCCTACGCACATTGCGTAGGTAACGCATGGGCTGATTTCTTTGCATATGCTGGTGCCATGGGAATCTGTGTGGCCAATACCCTTGCCGACAATCACAAAGGGCTGATGGAGGAGGCCAAACAAACTGCCCGATACCTTGGATTTCTGGCAGCCCGAGCTGTTCGACTGTACCTCGAGGTGGGGGCTGAACCAAAGAGGAAGGCCCCTGTTGCTGGTCCTGCTTTGTCTTTGACGCAACACATGTTTGGGCAAGTGAGTGAGTCATGCATCCGCTGCACACACTGCTTGCGTGTAGCACGTACGCCATCTAGTTTTCAGACGCTTTTTAACTCGAAGTGTTCTGGGCCCCCAGTCCTCGGAGTTGGTCATATGTTGGCTAAATGGGGCCCTGCTGCTATTTGTGAAAGATGTGGGGCCTATTCGCCCAACATCTTGAAATTCGCTCGTAACCTCCTCCTCGTGTGCCCAGGCCCGCCCAGCAATAAGTCCACGCTGGCCAATATCCGCTCGCATATCAAGCAGGTGAAGAAGGGTCTCGAGCCACGATCGGGGAAGGAAATTTCTCTTGTATAGGCGGGCCCAACTGCTGCCTTCTTGGACTCCCCTGCTTCCTCCCTGGCCCCTTGCGGGGCCAGGAGACTGAACCAGGGAGTGCCTGCCGCCTGGCGCGGCTAGCACACGTCCTCGGCAGCAATATGGCTCGCTGCTGCCGTCAGCGGCATGCTGACTCTTGCTCGTCGTCAGCGCTTGGCTGACCTTTCTATCAATTCGGCCCTCCTCCCGTTCCCTTTGGGGTTCGGTTGGAGGTGCTTGGACTGGACCTCCTCCTCCTCCTCCCTCTCCTCCCATGACGCTGCCGCCGCCGACGTCGACGCGGCCGACGACGAGGACGCCGCCGCCGCCGCCACCGCCGAGGGCCCGCCGAGGGCCCGCCGAGGGCCCGCGGCGGCCGCGAAACACGCCGATGGCCGCTGCGAGGGCAACGGCGAAGGCCGTACCCATCGGTCGGAAGAAGTAGGTAGAAACGTGAAGTAGGATTGCGCTGCACAGATATTGGGTTCCGTCCGCCCCCTAAGGAGGACGGAAAAGGTGAATCCACTCGATCACTGAAGTGGGAAGGCGCTTAAAGTATATTGGAACCTGGGAATCCAGAAACACCTACTTCCACGACCAGTGGGTACGGCTGATGGACAAACTCCTGCACCCCGTATGTTGATTAGACCCCCCGCGCCCCCGACTTGATGTTGACGGGCTGTGCGGCAAAGTGTCAATCCATCGGCTGGCCGACGTCCTGCGCTCCGCTGGCGATGCCAGCCGATACTGGATCGGGGGTAGGAGGCGCGATGGCGTTTGCGACGGCACCCTGGTCGCACGAGTGGTGCAGGATTTTGTCCATCGGCCGTGTCGCACTCGCTGGTGCAGTTTGGCCCATCCCTCTGCTCATCGGATCGGATCGCCATAGCGGGCTCATGGACTTTCGAACGCACAGTGGCCCCACAACGATGCTGGCAGTTGACTTGAAGGGGCATTCGTGGCGTAAAAATCACAGAGCAACTCCCTGGCGCGCGGAGCGCGCCAGGGGCGCGCCGCGAGGGAGCCCTAGCGCCGATCCGAGAAATCTGGGCGGAACTTCGAAAACACAGATGTTCGTGCTTTTATTGGTCGCCGAGATCAGAAGAAATGGGGGGGAATCGTACGAATCACGCAGATGCCGTGTCGAGGGCTTGCCAAAAGCGGCCGCGGCGGCGCAGCGGAGCCGAGGGCCTCCATGTCCGGGGGCGGGCCCGTCCCATGCCGCGGCGGGTCCGCGGCGCCCGCGCAGATGGCGGGGCCGCAGCCAGCGGGGAGGCCCACCTGACTCCCCTCCCTCCCCCCTGGCCTCCACGAGGGAGGGAATGAAAAGCAGGAGGAGGAGGAGAAGGAGGAGGACAAGGAAGAGGAGCAGGAGGAGGAGGAGAAGGAGGAGGAGGAGAAGGAGCAGGAGGAGGAGCAGCAGGAGGAGAAGGAGGAGGAGAAGGAGGAGGAGCAGGACAGGAGGAGGAGGAGGAGGGGAGGAGGAGGAGGAGGAGGAGGAGGAGGAGGAGGAGGAGGAGGAGAAGGAGCAGGAGGAGAAGCAGGAGGAGCAGGAGGATATGTGGGAGGCGGAGATGAGCAGGAGGAGATGAGAGAGAAGGAGGAGGATAACGAGGAGGAGGAGGAGGACAAGGAGGAGGAAGAGGAGGACGAGGAGGACGAGGAGGAGGAGCAGGAGGAGCAGGAGGAGGAGCAGGAGGAAAAGGAAAAGGAGGAGGAGGATGATGATGAGGAGGAGGAGGAGGAGGGGGAGGCGGAGGAGGAGGAGGAGGAGGAGGAGGGGGAGGAGAAGGAGGAGCAGCAGGAGGAGCAGGAAGAGGAGCAGGAGGGCACCGTGATGAGGGGGGGCATGGCGAGGAAAAGCACGGTGAAGAGGAGGAAAAGAAGGAGGAAGAGGAGGAAGAGCAGGAGGAGGAGGAGGAGGAGGAAGATGAGGAAAAAAAGGAGGAGAAAAAGGAACACCTTCTGCCAGTCCGCCTGCGCGACCTGCTGCTCCACTCTCGCCATCAGGTGGCCAGCCTCCTCGCCTGCCCTCGTCATCGCGCGCCTCACCGAACCCCACGGGCTCGCGGTGCTGCTGTAGGCCTTCGGGGGAGGCCTTCCCCCACAGGTCCCAAGGAATCCCCTCAAGGTATTTTTTGTCCTCCCTGGAGAAGGCCCAGCCGTGCTGGTGATGAGCCAAGCGCTGATGAATCCGCGCTTTCCGCCGCAGAGGCCTGTTCAGTCAAAGTGAGCCTTGATAGTGAACTGCCACTCTGCACTCATGGACCACATGCCAAAATCGTTCAAGAGGCACCCGAATGGCCTCCAAAATGGCTCAAGAGGTCTCCAAGAATCCTCTTGTCCACGCCCAGGGGACGGCAACAATGAGCCGGAGGCCAATGGATTCGCCGCCCCCTGCGCTTGCCGCAAAGGTGATTGGGGTGAAAATCCCACCAGCCGTGAAAATCCCACCAGCCCTTTGGGCGTGGGTGGTTTAACGCGTCTTGTCTTCTCTATCTTCACATCCCCTCATTCCCCTGCTCGGGGGAACGGTTTATCACTGTTCCCAATTATGTGCGCAGCCCCTCCCCCAAGCGACCGGCAGCCAACCAAGAGTCATGGAAAGAGCGTGTTCTACCGCTGCTGGCGGAAAACCAGGGGGGGTCACTACCGGTTCGAACCCCTCCCCCCCCCCCTCCGGAAAACCGGGGGGGGGTCACTACCGGTTTGAACCCCCTCCCCCCCCCCCCCCCAGCTCATCATGAAAAGGGAATGGGGGGTCACTACCGGTTCGAACCCCTCCCCCCCCCCCTCGAAAACCGGGGGGGGTCACTACCGGTTCGAACCCCCCCCCTCGAAAACCGAGTGGGGGTGCGGACAGTGGTGGAGACGGTGTTGGTGGGGACAGTGGTGAGGGGATAGCGGGACAGTGGTGGGGACAGTGGGACAGTGGGACAATGGTGGGGACGGTAGTGGTGGGGACAGTGGTGGGGACAATGGTGGGAACAGGGGGGGACAGTGGACAGTGGTGGTGACGGTGGTGGTGGGGACAGTGGTGTGGGGACAATGGGAATGAGGTGGAAACAGTGGGACAGTGGAGGGTACAATGGTGGTGGGGACAGTGGTGAAGGCGGTGGCGAGGACGGCGGTGGGACAATGGGACAAAGGTACAGTGGGGACAGTGGTGGGGACAGTGGGGACAGTGGTGGGAACAGTGGGACAGCTCAGTGGGACAGCGGAGGAGTCATTGGGACAGTGGGGACAGTGGGGATAGTCGGGCAGTGGTTGGGGCCGTGGAGACAGTGGGGAGAGTGGAACCGTGGTGGGAACAGTTCTGGGGACAGCGGGGACAGTGCGACAGTGGTGGGGCCACTGGTGGGGACAGTAGGGGCGGTGGTGGAACCAGTGGGGACAGCGGTGGTGAGGACAGTGGTGCTGGGAACACCAGTGGGGGATGTGATGCGGACGGTGGTGGGGACCGGGAGTCGTTTGCTGGCGGTGAGTAGGGGGGGGGGGGGGGGGGGGGGGGGGGGGCTCGAACCTGTAGTGACCCCTCCGGTTTTCCCGATCCGAAGGGTAAAGGGGGGGGGGGGAGGTGGTTCGAACCGGTAGTGACCCCCCCCAGTTTTCCGGATCCGGAGGGGGGGGGAGGGGTTCGAACCGGTAGTGACCCCCCCCCGGTTTTCGAGCGGGAGGGGGGGGGGGGGAGGGGTTAGGGGAGGGGGGGGTTTTGCCGGGGGAGGGGGGGGGGAGGGGTTCCAGCAGGGGGGGGGGATTTTCGGAGGGGGGGGGGGGGGGCGACCCCCGGGCTCCGGAGGAAAAGGTTGGCAATTTTCCACAGTAAAGCGGCGGTGGATCACGCTCTCTCGAGTCATGAAGACCCCATGTTCACGCCCCCCCACCACCACTCTCAAAAACCATACAAACGCACCCTGCCTCCACGCATGCAGCACGCGCGGCCAACCCGATGCGCCCCCCCCCCCCGCCATCCCTCTCAACAAATTATACAAAACGCACTTCGGGGCAAAGTCTTGAGTCATGTTCGCGAGGCCCGTGAGCACGTTGTTTTGTTTTTGACAGGGGCGGCGGGGCGTCAGCATATTGCCCGCCGCTCGCAGGGCCACCGCCCCTAACAAAGTAACCCGGCGAAGGGCCCAACCGCATGCGGCTGCGAGTGCCGCGTCTGTGAATATCGTCTTCGGCGGAGTTCCTCGTGGGGGCGCGAATTGTGCGAGGGGCGTGCCAGAGTGGGATGGTGGCGGCGCGCGGGCGCTGCCAGCGGGGCCTGCGGTGGAGCTCTCCATAGGGCCTTCGGCGCGGTCCCTTCTGTCCGCGATCTGTCTGACGGGGGGTAGCGAGAGAAGCTAGACCGTCCAGGATTCCCCCCCTTCTTTTTCTCCCTCTGCGCCCGCGCACTCCAAAGCCCAACGCTGCGGGCGCAGCGCGGCGCAGAGTCTCTGCGACGCGCGCCGGTCGCCCCGAAGGGGGCCCCGTCGACGCGCGCGGGTCGTCCGCTGCGCAGAGCAAAAGAGCTAGCTCGCAGGCCGATTGCGAGCAGGGCCCTGGGCAGAGCGCAGCGCGGAGTTCCCGCGACGCGCGCCGGTCGCTCCGAGAGGGCCCCAACGACGCGCGCGGGCCGTCCGCGGCGAGGGGCCAAGCAATCATGCCGTCGAGAGAAAGCGAGGCTCGGGCGCGCCGCTCCCCTGTGGTCAGGCCTCGCGGATAAACTCGGTGAAGCCCAGCTCCCTGGCGCGGGCCGTCGCCTTCCTCCGGCACCGCTTCGCGCTCCGCGCTGCTTCCGCTAGCCCTCCGGCGGCCGCGCCGGGGAAAAAGTCCGCGGCGCCCGCGCCGGCGGGATGTCCTCGCGGCGCGTGACGCGCGAGAGCAGCGCGTAGAGTTCCAGTCGCCAGGTCGTCGTCCTCCATCTGGCCGCTCCCGACCCCGTGACGGCCGCAGTCCAGGGCCGCGCCTGGGCGACGTCGGCCGAGGGAGCGGCGCGCCGGACAGCCGACGGTTCAGGGCGAGTCCAGGACCGAGAGAAGGTCTGGCCGCGGACCGTTCGCGCCCAAGCGATAGGGCCACGAAGCGCGTGAAACGCGTGATCCCAGCTATGGGGCCGCGAACCGCTGCGCTGGGCGCGGGAACCGCGCGCGAGTTCTGCCGCTGGGACCTTCGGTGGAGCTCCTTATGGGGCCGCGAAGCGCTGCGCTGCGCGCGGGAATCGCGCGCGAGTTCCGCCGCTGGGACCTTCGGTGGAGCTCCCTATGGGGCCGCGAAGCGTTGTGCGGGGCGCAGGAACCGCATGCGAGCTCCGCCGCTGGGACCTTCGGTGGGGCTCCTTTTGGGGCCACGCAACGCTGTGCTAGGCGCGGGAACCGCATGCGAGTTCCGCCGCTGGGACCTTCGGTGGAGCTCCTTATGAAGCCACGAAGCGCTGTAGTGAGCGAAGGAACCGCATGCAAGTTCCGCCGCTGGGACCTTCGGTGGAGCCCCCTATGGGGCCACGAAGCGCTGCGCTGGGCGAAGGAACCACATGCGAGTTCCGCCGCTGGGACCTTCGGTGGGCCCCCCCATAAGGCCACGAAGCGCTGTGGCAGGCGCGGGATTCGCATGTGAGTTACGCCGTGGAGTTCCCTATGAGGCCACGAAGCGCTGTAGTGAGCGCAGGAACTGCATGCGAGTTCCGCCGCTGGGACCTTCGGTGGAGCTCCCTACGGGGCCCCGAAGCGCTGTAGTGAGCGAAGGAACCACATGCGAGTTCCGCCGCTGGGACCTCCGGTGGAGCTCCCTACGGTGCCACGAAGCGCTACGCTTGGCGAAGGAACCGCATGCGGGTTCCGCCGCTGGGACCTTCGGTGGAGCTCCCTATGGGGCCACGAAGCGCTGCGCTAGGCGCGGGGGCCGCATGCGAGTTCCGCCACTGGGACCTCCGGTGGGGCTCCCTATGGGGCCACGAAGGGCTGCGCTGGGAGCAGGAACCTCATGCGAATTCCGCCACTGGGAACTTCGGTGGGACTCTCTGTGGGGCCACGATGCGCTTTGCTGGGCGCTAGAGACGCAGTAATGGTGATGGCGATGATCGACCGTAAGATATAATGTGGTTCGTCCACCAGCAGCGTACTTGAAATTGGCGCGACTGGCTGCTGCAATGACGCCATCAAGCTGCTCAGGTGCGCAGCGGCTGGCCATGCTCGTGCACGGCCTCGGCTTTGCGATGCGCGTGGAACGCCGGGACACAAAGTCAAGGAGGCGACGAAGAACGGGACAGGAGAAGCAGTGGGCGATCGCGTCGGGCACATTGGCGCATCCGACAAGGCAGGAAGCTGGGCCACAAACGTGCGCGCGGCGAGCGATCGTCCACCCTCCTGCAAGGGTTTTGAGCACTGACCATTGCCGCGAAGGACGCCGCGTCCGCAGGACCGAGAGACACTCCGCCCACCGTTCCCCAACCGACCCCGCTATCAGCTGCAACACACCCCACGCGTGCGGTCGCTTGCCAATGGCGAGCTGGAAATCAGACGGGGAAGGGGGGTCGACGCAAAGAGGCGGAGAATCTACGCCGCGCCGATCACGTCGCGGGCCGCAGACGCGGCACTCGTCCACTGCGTGTCAGTGGCGCTCGGATCGGGGGCATGCGCCTGGAGCGGTAGAAACCGCTGCAGAGACCCTGCGGAATCTTTCAGCAAGGCGCGCCCCATGTCTGCTGGGCCCATGCGACAAGCGGGAGGTCTCTCACCGCCTGCTCCGACCAGGGGCGAAGATTTTCTTCCCATCCCGTCGGTGCGCGATGCGCGCGGCGCCATGGGCGCGCTATGCTGAGAATCTGCGCAGGGGCTGGTGAAATGAGCGCGTGATCCTTAAAAGCGAAGAGATCCACCTTCCGAAATATGCCAGGTAGAAGGCGCAAAACTTTGTGCCCGGCGAATTTCTCCTTCAGCAGCACCCGCCGCGGCATTGGGTAGAGCTGCGCAAGATAGCTCAACGCCGACAGGGCAATGCTGTTATATAACAAGAGACTCACGTTTGTCGGGCTGTCTGCTGCTGGAATTTCACGCGCGCGGGCCCACCGTTTGCGAGCGGCATCGGCCCGAATGGCGGCCTCAGTCGCACCTGGCCCGAATTGGACGCCGAGATCTTTCGCGTGCGAAGCGATAGAAATGTCCGCCCACGTCGGGATGCGACATTCGAGGCAGCGCCGGATACGCGCAACTACGGAGGCGTCTAAGTCAGCCCATAGCGGCGCGAGGGCTGTTTTGATTGTTTGCAAGCGACGGTGGGCCAGGCGCCTGGCTGCTTGAAAGGCTGGAAACGCGCTCGGCAACTCGGCCAATCGAGGCTGGACAAGGCCAGCGTCACCAGCACATCCCCCCACGACCCCGCGACACTCACCCAGCGACGACGGCGAAACCTCCCCCACTAAGTGTCTCGAAATCGTGTCCATTGCTATGGCCCAGACCGAGCCTGACAGTGGGCATCCTTGCATGACACCAGAGTGTAGATATAACATAAATTGCTGATCGCCGTTGACTGCGGCATAGCTCTAGGGGGCGAATTAGAACGCCGAAATCAGATTTCG